AAAAAATTTAAAACAAAAATAAAACAAAACAAGAGGGCATGATGGCCCTGAGGTGGCTCACCTGTATATAGGCCCACCCAACCCCACCCCCACCCCCAACGTTGGCAGGGCAATTTAAAACCCAAGGGCTTTTATTTTGCACAAACTTGGTAGACACCCATCAAGAAGATGTTTCATGCTAAACATCTAAAGCTCTAGCTCATTGGGCTTTTTAAAAGAAGATTTTTTTTAAGTTTTTACTATACACATATAGTTAAAAAACAATGACACCCCTGGGCCGGGCAGTTTTGACCCCAGGGCTTTTATTTGAACAAACTTTGTAGACACTTACTAGAAGATGTTCATGCTTAATATCTAAACTCTAGCTATTTGGGTTTTTTGAAAGAAGATTTTAAGTTTTTGCTATACACATATAAAGAAAATCAATGACCCCCGGGGCGGGGCCAATTTTGACCCAGGTCTTTTATTTGAACAAACTTTGTAGACACTCACTAAAAGATGTTTTCATGCTTAATATCTTAAACTCTAGCTATTTGGGTTTTTTCAAAGAAGATTTTTTTAAGTTTTTGCTATACACATATAAGGAAAATCAATGACCCCCGGGGCGGTGCCAATTTTGACCCCAGGGCTTTTATTTGAACAAACTTGGTAGACACCTATTAGAACATGTTTCATGCTAAATATCTTAGCCATAGCTCTTTGAGTTCTTTAAAAGAAGATTTTTTAAGTTTTTTTAACTATATGCATAAAGGGAAAATCAATGACCCCCGGGGCGGGGCCAATTTTGACCCCAGGGCTTTTATTTGAAAAAACTTGGTAGACACTTATTAGAACATGTTTCATGCTAAATATCTTAGCTCTAACTCTTTTGGTTCTTTAAAAGAAGATTTTTTAAGTTTTTACTATATGCATATAGGGAAAATCAATGACCCCATGGGGCGGGGCCAATTTTGACCCTAGGGCTTTTATTTGAACAAACTTGGTAGACACCTATTAGAACATGTTTGATGCTCAATATCTTAGCCATAGCTCTTTGAGTTCTTTAAAAGAAGATTTTTTAAGTTTTTACTATATGCATATAGGGAAAATCAATGACCCCCCGGGGCGGGGCCAATTTTGACCCCAGGGCTTTTTTTTTTTAACAAACTTGGTAGACACCCATTAGAACATGTTTCATGCTAAATATCTTAGCTGGTTCTTTAAAAGAAGATTTTTTAAGTTTTTACTATATGCATATAGGGAAAATCAATGACCCCCCGGGGCGGGGCCAATTTTGACCCCAGGGCTTTTATTTGAACAAACTTGGTAGACACTCACTAGAAGATGTTTCATGCCAAATATCTAAGCTCTAGCTCTTATGGTTTTTTAAAAGAAGATATTTAAAGTTTTTTCTTTCGGTTGCCATGGCAACCAGAGTTCTGCATGGAATTAAATTCTTTGAACAATTTTTAAAGGTGACCACCAAAGGAACATTCCTGAGAAGTTTGGATAAAATTGGCTTAGTGGTTTACGAGGAGATGTCATTTAAAGTAAAAGTTTACGGACGGACGCCGGACGAAAAGCGATCACAAAAGCTCACCCTGTAACTTTGTGACAGGTGAGCTAAAAATGTAAAATGTTTACAGGGAATGGTACGAAACATCACAAACAAAATATATAATTCATGGAACGTAACAGAAAACATTTACATCTCCGTAACTATAACATAATGTATTGAAAATTAATTAAAAGCATAGGAAAAAAATTGATACATGTATGTTATTTGATAATCTTTTTCAGTTCAAAATTTTCTCTTATCTGCTTGCGCTTTATTTAATCAAACCACTTCCTATTACTATATATCACATACATTTAATTTAATGTAAATGGCATTTTTGCCATTTTTTAGCTGTATCATATCATGTGGTACAAAGAATCTATATCCAATACTTTTTCGTGTAGACTAGCATCAAACACTCCCAAAGCTTGGGGGTGGGGGAATGATAAAAAAAAAAAAAACACTCCCAAAGCTTGGGGGGTGGGGGAATGATGAAAAAAAAAAAAGTAAAAAAAATAAATAAAAAAAGAAACAAGATTGCATTTGAGAAAAATGCTATGCCACCGCATTAATACCTAAGCTCTAGGCCTTTTGGGCATTTACAAGAAGGTATTTTAAGTTTTTGAAGCCTTGTACCTTGTACCTAGAGACAATAAGATTTTTTTATTTTTTTTACTATATGTATATATTGAAATCAATGACCCCCCGGGCGGGGGCAATTTTGACCCCAGGGCTATAATTTGAACAATCTTGCTAGAGGTTCACTACACAATGGTTTTCATGCAAAATATCTAACCTCTAGCATTTGTCAATTGCTAGAAGAAATTTTTTTTAAAGTTTTTACTATATACATATAACGAAAACCAATGACCCCCGGGCAGGGCCGATTTTGACCCAAGGGCTATAATTTGAACAATCTGGGTAGAGGTCTACAACACAATGCCTTATGCTCTAGGCCTTCTGGGTCTTTACAAGTAGGTATTTAAAGTTTTTACTATATGTACATATAGTGAAAATCAATGACCCCCGGGGCAGGGCCGATTTTGACCCTAGGGCTATAATTTGAACAATCTTGGTAGAGGTCTACCAGGCAATGCCTTATGCAAAATATCTAAGCTCTAGGCTATTTGGGTCTTTACAATAAGGTATTTTAAGTTTTTACTATATGTACATATAGTGAAAATCAATGACCCCAGGGCAGGGCCGATTTTGACCCAGGGCTATAATTTGAACAATCTTGGTAGAGGTCTACCAGACAATGCCTTATGCAAAATATCTGAGCTCTAGGCCTTTTGGGTCTTTACAAGAAGATTTTTTAAATTTATTCTTATAATTCCTTTTGGTTGCCATGGCAACCAGATTTCTGCATGGAATGAAATTCTTTGAACAACTTTGGAAGCCCTTCACCCAAGGATCAATCCTGCCAAGTTTGGTTGAAATTGGACTATTCGTTTTTCACAAGAAGATTTTTTACGTTCACTATATAATCTATATAACAATGACCCGGGGCGGGGCCTATTTTGACCCCAGGGCTATAATTTGAACAATGTTGGTAGAGGTCTACCAGACAATGCCTTATGCAAAATATCTAAGCTCTAGGCTATTTGGGTCTTTACAATAAGGTATTTTAAGTTTTTACTATATGTACATATAGTGAAAATCAATGACCCCAGGGCGGGGCCGATTTTGACCCCAGGGCTATAATTTGAACAATCTTGGTAGAGGTCTACCAGACAATGCCTTATGCAAAATATCTAAGCTCTAGGCCTTTTGGGTCTTTACAAGAAGATTTTTTAAATTTGTTCTTATAATTCCTTTTGGTTGCCATGGCAACCAGATTTCTGCATGGAATGAAATTCTTTGAACAACTTTGGAAGCCCTTCACCCAAGGATCAATCCTGCCAAGTTTGGTTGAAATTGGACTACTGGTTTTTCACAAGAAGATTTTTTAAGTTCACTATATAATCTATATAACACACACACACACAAACACACACCAAAACAAACACACACACACACAGGTGAATCGCTATATGCCACCGCATCGCAGATGCTGCGGTGGCATAAAAAGCAGCAAAAAGTATAAAGGAATAACATGAGACATGATTATAATATATAAAAGAAGAATATGTTGTATAAACTTAACAGATCTGTAAAGATATAGGCAAGATCATCTATATAAAACAATGCACATTTTCCCCCCTAATATTTAACAATGAATAAATAGGAACACATATGAAATATTGCACAAAGGTTAATGTTTTTGGCAATAGCAATCTAAAAGGTAAAATATTAACATGACTAGAAAAAAAAACATGAATGTAAAATTGTGAAATGGATTTATAAAGATCAAAAAACATAAAATTGGATACATGGCCCAGCATGTGACTTACTCCCTGGGTAGTAATTCAACTTTACACAAGATTTTGAATTAATGACTTAATCTTGATCATTCTAATCCATTACTCAAAATGACATCCAATAATTATGCAGTGCAGTAAATATAAATGGTTTAACTAGTGAGAGAAAACTTTTGGCACTACTGACTAGCTGTCTAGTAAATGATTTATTAATTCCACCAATGTTTCCTTACTTTCCAAAATCTTAAACCATATGGCGACTTTCCAGCTGCTTTATTTGTTGAGTAAGACCTAAGCTGCCTCTGCAATATTTCAGGCAGGAATGGACACCTGAGTAGTTCCACTGATATTTCATAAACTAGCTGGATAGCTTCTTCACATGAAAGAATCCAAAGTCTCTGCCGGGTACCAAACCCCCAGTGGAGAGAAGCAAGTGGTTTTAAGTGAATGAGGCCTAAACCACACAGCCATGCATGCCCCCTACTGGACATGAAGGTCACTTAAATAAAGTCAGGTCAAACTGAACATCTGTGCAGTCTGACCAGGCTCTATACTCTTGGCTAATTATTTCTTCAATTTTCATCTTGATATACCAAAATTTATAAAGCACATTTACAAACATATAATTTTGTTGTGTCCATTGTATAAATTCAGCAGGTTTAGGGTTCAAAGTTTGCGCATTAACAATTTGTCTACAAACTAAACAAAATGCATTATTTTAAGCAAGAAACATTGGTAAATTTATTTCTAAAAGAAGCTGCAAAATGGTTTACAATAAGAAATACATATCATAGAAAATTATATGTGAATACAGTATCATATTCAAATGTGAAAGACTGTGCTTATTTGCTCCCCCCTATATTTTACCTTAAAATAAAACAAGTATGTCATCATAAATCAAAAAAACATTATGGCAAATTATGACTGCAACCATGTATTTCCATTTGGCAATGTTTTGGTAAGCAATTATTGTAACCATGTATTTCCATGTGGCAATGGTTATAACCATGTATTTCCATGTGGCAATGTTTGTAACCATGTATTTCCATGTGGCAATGGTTATAACCATGTATTTCCATGTGGCAATGTTTGTAACCATGTATTTCCATGTGACAATGGTTGCAATCATATATTTACATGAGGTAAACAATGATTGTAGCCCTGTGACAATGACTGCAACCATGTACATGTATTTCAATGTGGCAATGTTTGTAACCATGTTTTTCCAGGAGGTAAACAGTGATTTTATCAATGTTGCATACAATATATTTCCATGTGGTAAATGATAATAGCAACCATGTATTTTTAAGTGATAAACAATGATGGTATCCATATATAAAACATAACAACAAACCAGACTAGTATTACATTCTCAATAACCTTGTAAATTACAAACATTGCTAACAACCATTGCTACGCTAACACTGCATTTTAGCTGCAATTAGTCCTGCTGGTTTCAAATTTTTGCTTGTTATCAGATTTCAACACATTATTTCTAAAACTGAATTTCATTGATAAATTATAATGTAAATAAATACTTGTATGAAAAACATTAGTTCTTTGCACTAGAGTTAAAAAGCGAGGCGTTAAGAATGGTTTTCATTTTCATTTTTTTTTTAAAGTAAAGATAAATTTGAAAATTTTTTTGGCTAATAATTTAGACTGAGTAAAAGGACATCTATAGTTTTACAAAAAAAAACAAATTTTATTATGGAAAATTCAATAAAATGGATTCTTTTTTGGTCTACTCGTGTGTTTTTGACTAAAAGAAACATTTAATAAATACTAATTTGTAGGAATCTCTTCTTGTATCTTCATTCATTAAAATATTAAGAAAACATGTAGCCACTACAACAGCATTTTTTAACTTGTTAAAATAGACAAAACAACACATCATATTTCCATGCACAATAGGTCTCTTTAAGTCAGTGCAAAATTAATATGCTTTACTGTTTTATTTGAAAAGTTGTAATCCATTGAGGCCAACCTACGTTATACTCTGGTATATCTCGCACATGGAAAAATCTCTCCATTCATTTTTATTTGACATTTTGATTGCTTTTTAAGTTACAACAACACTGTTAAGCTTTTATGGTGACTTTCTAGCTTTAGAAATTTCAAGCCACATATATTAAGTGGCAATTTTCTAATTAAATGAGTGTACATTTTGTTGTAATGATAATGCCACACAAGAATAAAATGTATAATGTTTTGTTTTTACAATACTGTTTTAATCTTACTTGTAAAATAATGTATTTTTCATGCCCAGGTTATAAAAATGTGGTTTCTTGATGTTTGTTTGTTTTTTTTGTTTGTTTTTTTTGGTTTGGTTTTTGTTTTGTTTTTTCTATTTGTGTATATATGTTATTTAAAATGTGTAATGTATATCTTGTTATGTATATGCTATGTATATGCTGAGGCCAGCATGGAAGATCAGGAAACCGAATGTGTAAGCCTCATTAAATAAAGTCCTTACTTACTTACTGACTATGGTGGAGAAAGACAGGTAGTAGCTCAAATTGTCTTTAACAAACACTCGGTATCTTTTAAAAAAATTTTTTTTTTTTACCTAAAACAAGATTTAATGTAACCTTCATATTCAACCAGCGAGGGGAAGGAAGTTGGCCACTATGCTTTTAAGAATAGTAGATTCTGAATGACAGTACAGTTATTATCTTTCTATGAATGAAAATTATCTATAAATTGGCTACAATAAATTACTTGTAATACCTAATGATTTCTATTCCATGTAAAATATGACTTAACATCTTTAAAGAACTTCAATAAAAAAAACAACTGACTACAAAATTATTCAAGAGCACATAAAACATGCATGCTGTGAAAAAGAGAGAAAAAGTGAGAAAGTTTTCATTCACACACTGTCAAACACTATCATACAAAGAAATATTATTTAACAAAAGAAAATGTATACATTAAAAAAGAACGTACATGTATACAATTGAAATAACTCTATATATATATATATATGATATATATATTTACACTTACTGTATTTCTAACAAGGCACTGTTTTCATAATTTTGTATCACTGGGGATATTATCACACTTTCTTCTTACCAAACTGACTAATCCTGACTTTTGTTACCATTTTAAACTCGATATGTAAAACTTGGTATATGCTGCTTTTTATAAACATATTTTTGGGTAATATACACTTAGAAAGGAATAGGAAAACTTAGAGGACATATTTATTTATATACCCACTGATTTATATTAAAGGTAGAATTCCCAATTATCAATCTTATCATAATATCTTGTCATTTTTTAAAATTATCACCCAATGATAATTAAACTATTTCTCAACTCTTCAAAATTATCTCTAATTCTTCTTTTGATGCTTGACTTGAAATTTGTTCCTCAAATTCTAGAATTACAACTAAATACATTCTTGGAATAATTTTTAAATTCTAGAATTAACAACTCAATTCTTGGAATAATTCTTCAAATTCTAGAATTACCAACTCAATTCTGTGAATAATTTCTCAATTTCTAGAACTACCAACTCAATTTTTGGAATAATTTCTCAATTTCTAGAACTACCAACTCAATTTTTGGAATCATTTCTCAATTTCTGGAATAACCACTCAATTCTTGGAACTATTCCTCAAATTCTAGAATTAAGACTTGATTTGAAAATTCTAGAATCGCAACTGGAATTTACTATCCTTATCATCATTACAATGTCTATGGTAAACAGGTAACAACAATCACTTTTTCACAGATAAAAACAACAGTATGAAAACAGTGGGATCAATAAAGACATAACAATTAATTCGTATAACAAGGAACAAGAACAATACATAACAAGAGAACCCTGTTGGCCCTTTGTGACTCACCTGTGACTTACAGTGCAGAATAATTGATGAAAAATATAAAAACTTTAAGATAAAGGCAACAGCTATTTGTAGTGAATCAATATAATAAAATATTTTCCTATGGTGCAAAATTAGTTAATTAAATAAAAAACCCATGAAAAAAACAAAAAAGAAAAACAAAGTTGATGTCTGATTTGGTTGGTTCATTCAGTAATCTTTTCGCTTTCAGCGAACATTCAAGGAAGATAAATATAGCCGCAGAAGAAAAAAAAATTTACATAAACAAAATATATTACAGATAAGGGACACTTTTCCAGAACTCGGTGTATACTTTTAAAATAATGACTTTTGGATATTTGAAGGAACACCGATACAAACTAGCAGACAAACACGGAACATCTAACAATCATAAGAGCTCAAAATGTGCATATAAGCTCAGGTGAGCTTTAAAAATTCATGGAATGATATAGAAATAGTGCATCTGATATACAATAAATTTACAAAACAATGCATACTTGAAACTTTTAACAGCCATTCATGGATCAAAATCTTGCTGTTCATGTTTGAAATATTCTACACACATGTCAAACATCAAAATATATGTTTCATAACAATTATAATTATTCTAGACATTCTAAATATATGCTGTCATCTCAATAGTTTACAGATTTTCAAAATTAACCCTATATATATATATTTATATCAAAGAAGAATATCTCCCAATATTTTACAATTGTTTAGATCTTATAACTAAAGGTGAATCTATCAAAATCCACCAATTTACTGGAATTTTAGGGCTGACATTACGCTGTCATGTTTCGTATGTGTTAGACCATAGTCAAATTAGGACTCTCCCTCCCATGGAGTGACGACGTTTGTTCTAGGAACGCTGATAGCTAGACACGGATTTACGGCTTCAGACTTGCGGTTCCCCTCTGAATTCATCCCCTGGTACGTTGATCGTGGAACCTCTAAGTTGCTACGGCGACGTGGATCATTACTACTGGTAGTTAATTTGTTGTCGGAATCCATGTTTTCAGTACGTCTACGTACAGACGGGGAATTACTTTGCCTGAAAGAATGAATGATTATGTAAAAACATGAAAATCAAGAAGGTCATTTCTATTCATGAGATCAATTTTTACTCAGTTTTAATCTAGAAAAGTTTCATCAAATAACTATGTAAAATTTATATCCTGTTTTGTCAAGTATTCCCATATCTTATTACTAAGAATTGTTACATCCTGTTATATTTTGTTGTCCTATGATCTTGTTTTCTATCAACTAACTATTTAAGCATTACCTCTCTTTGATACTATTGAACACATATTCTTTTGTGTATTTAGAAAATCATCCTTTTAACTTTTATGGTTTACCTTCATTTGATATTTCATTTAAATCTTGAAATAAACATGAATAATTGTCATTTGAAATAAACATCAAGGACATTATCATATTCCTGTATTTCAAAAAAGTAACTGCATCCATTATCATGATTATACATGTACATGTATAAAAAAAACATGGCCATAAAAGCTGTTTTAGAACAAATAAATAATATTGAGAAAACTGGGGTGTTTTTTTTTCTGCTTAAACTAAAAAGTATTTGATAGTCATTTCATACATAATATGAATATCACCACTGTCAAATGAAAAATGACGTTACAAACATGCAGTATTATGCAGACAAATTAACTCACATAACAACAACAACAACAACAACAACAGGTAAATACATTAGTACATCACACATTCCCCAACACACATATGTCACATTAACAACAATATAAACAACAAAACCAAAATAATAAATCCACCACCATACTGTTTTCCAAGCACAATCAAAAACAAACAAAAACAACATTACTCAAAAATAAGTTTATTTTTAACCCCTGTTGTGTAACAGTTTTTAACAGCCCAATAGAAGGCCAAGGCAATCAAAGGTCAAGGACTCATCAAGGTAGTTATTGCTTATTCTATCTGTAAAACCAAGATTGAGGAGAACTTAAAGAGAACAGTGTATGTAAAAAGAGGGAAAAATTACAAACAAATTGGTCACCTTTAGTAAAAATACATGTAAGTTAATATATAATATTCCTTCAAAATTTCCATTAATTTCATTTACCATCAATAACTTAATTTTAAGTAAAAGATGCATTTTCAAAGTGTGTATCTCTGAATGTGGAAATAACACTGGTACTGTGCAATAGTAAAGCTGAATTGTGCAAATCTATGGTTAAAATAAGCACCATGGTATGGTAAGTTATCTGATAAATGTGTTTTACTATCAATAATTTTAGCTCATCAAATACACTTGTAACCATGGAAATATAATGGATAAGTAAATGGAGGTAAGAGGCTCTTACCAGATGCTGAAGAATTTTTGTGCACATGTTTTAAGTCAAACTCACACTGTCAGGTTAATATGGTAACTTACAGGCTTTACCCATGGAGGAAAACCTTACGTGCTCCTCTGTGCATTATTTGAAGTACAAATGAGCACCGAACTATATATCTTATAACTAAACTAGCTGGATAGGTTCTTAGCATAAAATAATCTAAATTTCTGGTCAGGATTCAAAAGTAGGAGGGGCTAGAGAGTAGGAGGGGCTAGGCACCAACAATAACAACTTGACCACAGAGACTCCCACATCCTCAGAACTACACCAAACAAGAGGGCCATGATGGCCCTGAGGTCGCTCACCTGTATATAGCCCCCCCCCCCCCCCCCCCCCGGGCCAATTTTTACCCAAGGGCTTTTATTTGTTTATTTGAACAGACTTGGTAGACACCCATAAGAAGATGTTTCATGCTAAACATCTAAGTTCTAGCTCATTGGGTTTTTTAAAAGAAGATTTTTTAAGTTTTTACTATACACATATAGTTAAAAACAATGACACCCCTGGGGCAGGGCCAGTTTTGACCCCCGGGCTTTTATTTGAACAAACTTTGTAGATATTTACTAAAAGATGTTTCATGCTTAATATCTAAACTCTAGCTATTTGGGTTTTTTCAAAGAAGATTTTTAAGTTTTTGCTATACACAAAAAAGGAAAATCAATGACCCCCGGGGCAGGGCCAATTTTGACCCCGGGGCTTTTATTTGAACAAACTTTGTAGACACTGATTAGAAGATGTTTCATGCTTAATATTTAAACTCTAGCTACGAGGGCTGTTCAAAAAGTTCGTGGACTACGGCTCTACTGATCACGGCTTTTAATTTGCGTATATGAGTTTAAAAGAGACATATATGAAAATATGTCCTTAATAAACAGTGAAAAAATCAATACAATATGTTTACAAATAACAATTCTGTGACAGTTACAAATCACAAGAGGTGCACAATCCGGCGCACACTGATGATGAAACAGAATGACGCTCGTGACGTCGCAATATAAATGAAAAATTGTACCATTGTAATTGGTTCTGAAAGTACTCTTTTTAGTGTTCAATATCTGCGGATCATTTACCAAAACCATTTTTCTGTTTGTGATGATGACCCGAGATATAAAGTGGTCATCTTTTCGCTCCATTTTCCGTAAATAGGTCCGAGTTCCGCATACTTTCCGCTCTTTATCGAGATTTTTGAGTAATGGGCAGAGTTATTAAGTTAATTCAATCGTTGATTTAAAGTATCAATTTGAAACCGCACTCGTCCGATATTTAAACAATATGATTATCAATGATTAAGAAAAATATTTTATCAACTGACAATTATTCTATGCGGTAAATCTACTGAACACCGGCTAGCATTAATTGTCAAACGGACCAGGGTAAATACACGTAATACAAATAATATAATAACTACAATTATTTATTGTAAATACGCATATATCCTAATGAATGAAATAAAATATTATGTTAATTAAATTAAATTATTTTGTCAGAATTGAATGCATAGACCCGATGCAGAAATTAAACATGTCGGACATCTCGCAAAACTGTCATAATGTTGGACTTCTGTAGATCTTTTGCAATTAAACGTCCCAACAATTTTCCACTAAAAAATTATCCGTCGCCCTTTCTGTCTGTCAGCATGTATTGGCCGTATTTGAATCGTTTGCACGACCTGAAACCAAGAGACTTGCTCGCCAACACATTGTTCTTCGTTAATTTAATCACCTCATAAAAATATGAAGGAGTATCCCATATTTATTGGTAAAAATTTCCGAAAGAGCGAACTTCTAGTTTTTAAACGGGCTTTATATTTCCCAACTTACCTGTCTGTCTACTGCTGCTCAAAACCTGTTTGTTCAGCTATTCAACGTCCAAACAACGTCAAATTTCAGATTTATGTTATTTAAATAATAATAGATGATTAATTGTATTTTACTTCATAAAACAATCATTCACTTTGTTTCAACATTTATTTATATTTAAACATTATATGAAAATTTCGGCGTGCGCCGATGTTGCGTTGCCATGGTTATTAAAGTGCACATAACTCGTAAAGGAGGTAAAAGTCAACAATTAAAGTAAATCTTACTTTTAGAAATAAAGACACTCTTTCAATTCATATCCACTAAGGGTGTTTTTATGAACCAAGTAAAAAATGACAGCAAAAATCCATGAACTTTTTGAACATACCTCGTATATGGGTTTTTTCAAAGAAGATTTTTAAGTTTTTGCCATACACATTAAAGGAAAATCAATGACCCCCGGGGCGGGGCCAATTTTGACCCAAGGGCTTTTATTTGAACAAATTTGGTAGACACCCATTAGAACATGTTTCATGCTAAATATCTTAGCTCTAGCTCTTTGGGTTCTTTAAAAGAAGATTTTTTAAGTTTTTACTATATGCATATAGGGAAAATCAATGACCCCCTGGGGCGGGGCCAATTTTGACCCCAGGGCTTTTATTTGAACAAACTTGGTAGACACTCACTAGAAGATGTTTCATGCCAAATATCTTAGCTCCAGCCTTTTGGGTTCTTTAAAAGAAGATTTTTTAAGTTTTTACTATATGCATATAGGGAAAATCAATGACCCCCTGGGGCGGGGCCAATTTTGACCCCAGGGCTTTTATTTGAACAAACTTGGTAGACACTCACTAGAAGATGTTTCATGCAAAATATCTAAGCTCTAGCTCTTAGGGTTGTTTAAAAGAAGATATTTAAAGATTTTTCTTTCGGTTGCCATGGCAACCAGAGTTCTGCATGGAATTAAATTCTTTGAACAATTTTTAAAGGTGACCACCAAAGGAACATTCCTGTGAAGTTTGGTTGAAATTGGCTCAGTGGTTTATGAGGAGATGTCATTTAAAGCAAAAGTTTACGGCCGGACGCCGGACGAAAAGCCATCACAAAAGCTCACCCTGTCACTTTGTGACAGGTGAGCTAAAAACAATAACTAAAGGTAAACGAAATGTTTAGCAATAATCTGTCGAGGTAGCCACTACGTATACAGGGTTTGTACCTACCCGTCGTAAGTGCCCATATAAATACTGCTATCAGATCCCACATACGAGGTTCTGAATGCATAATCCAAAATATAAACACATAACATTACCACGCAATGCCATAACACAACTTTATAGCAATTTTAAAATTTTGTTTTAGTTTGATGTAACAAATAGCTTCTGTTAAAAAGTATTTTCGTGACAACAAGTATGTTACTAAATCGTGATTCTAATTAATTTTGAAGACCATCTAAAGACAATACAGACCCCAGTTAAAGATAATTCACCAATTGTTTCATGGAGGTTTAAAGCAGCTTTCCTCCAGATTTATGCTAATTATAGTGGACATTTTTTAAATGTATTAATAAGTAAAAATATCGTCAAGTGAACATACAAAGTAGACACTTAAAATATTCGAAAATTGACAAAACCAGGTTTGAATATTCAAAAATTGCTTTATTGCGTTAGTTACATAGCAGAAATATGCTGATAGATACTGGAAAAACAGTCATGAATTGCATATTATCTGTGAATTATTTCTTAAATTGTGAATACTTTTACTGTCCTTTAAATCTAAGTACATTATTTGCAAGATTTATTTTATTGAAACTTGGCTCATCTGGAGGCTTGCAGCTTTAAAGATATTTCTATTTGCTTTCCTGGCTAACAAAATTTTATTTTGCGACAATCTAAGAATTTTACAGACAATGCTTGATGATGATTCATATATCTGTTTATAAGAGGAATTTTTCATATTAAACTCTGGCTGCTGGCCACTAAATGTAGCCCATGATGAACTTGACATCAAAGGATGCTACAGCCAAGTATTGGTGATGACTCACACATTGGTTAATAAGATATTTAAAGCACCTAAAAGGGGACACCAAAAAAATTATTTCTCACACGACAGAGGATTATACATGTGTTTTTATATACAGGTATATGTTCCTAGGTTGTAACTGTAAGTAAGGGAACTTTTCAAAATAAAACATATTGCAAAAACAGGTGAAAATTTACTCTCCAGAAACACTGAGTTTGTAGGTACGAATTTCTTTTCTTCTTTACAGTGAAATTAGTCAGGTCATTATTGTACTTTCATATTGGAGGCCAAGCTTAGATGATCAGAGACTAACATAGTTTTAAATTCAGCTTTATACTAGATGAATAATTTTAAAAGAAATTTAAGTAAAGAAAAACAACTGTTTAGTGTCACAAAAAATATGTTTCCCTGTACATACCAGTAGATTTACATATTAAATCTAAAAGCTATTTGTTAATCAAGGGTCAACATAAAACTCCTAATTTCTATAATAATGACAGAATATTGTTTTCAGAATTATATAATTCATGCAGCTTTAAACATGAAAATCTTAATTACGAGCAAATGGCAAGCAACTAGAAATAAAACAAAGACTATCCTAACAGTTTATAATCTATAGCTTGCAGTCAATACATGAAAACAGAGATGCATTTACACATGGATCTTCTTGCAAACATAGAGCAAATGCTAAAATCATTTACATATAACATTGACAAAATATTTAAACATGACTTCAAATATGCATCTATAATTAAAAACATGAAATATATATTTCTTAATATATTTAACATTAAATAATATCATACATAAATTTTTAATCATCTTTTTTAAAGTTTCACACCCATTCAACAAACTACAAGGGATTTAGTAACTAGTACTTGAGAATACTTTCTGACCATTAACTAGAACTGCCACTATCATGGCGTGAATACCCCCGCATACCACTTTGTCAGAATCAACAGTGGCCATTTAGAGCTCAAGGACAACCTCCCTGCCAAATCTGAGGTTACTAAGCCAGTGCATTGCTAAGTTATATATTCTACATGCTTCAAATGTGAAAATGTCAAAATCAATACATTGCGGACAGGACATTCTTTAGCAATTGAGAAGAAAATTTTTTTTTTTGTCAAGGTCCCTGTGACCTTGACCTTTGACCCAGTGACCTAAAAATCAATAGGGGTCACCTTATAGTCATGATCAACATCCATGCCAAATATGAAGACTGTGAGTCAAAGGAATCTTAAGTTAATGGGTGGACAAACTTTTTGAAGTCAGAGTCCCAATGACCTTGACCTTTGATCCAGTGACCTCAAAATCAAAAGGGGTCATCTACCAATAATGATCAACATCCATGCCAAATATGAAGACTGTGTGTCAAAGGAATCTTAAGTTATTGGGCAGACAAACTTTTTGAAGTCAAAGTCCCTGTGACCTTGACCTTTGACCTGGTGACCTCAAAATCAATAGGGGTCATCTACTTATCATGACTAACCTCCATGCCAAACATGAAGACTGTGGGTCAAAGGAATCTTAAGTTATAGGGCGGACAAGCTTTTTGAAGTCAAGGTCCTTGTGACCTTGACCTGTGACCTGGTGACCTCAAAGTCAATAGGGGTCATCTACTAATCATGACTAACCTCCATGCCAAATATGAAGACTGTAGGTCAAAGGAATCTTAAGTTATTGGGAGGACAAGCTTTTTGAAGTGAAGGCCCCTGTGACCTTGTCCTTTGACCTGATGACCTCAAAATCCAATAGGGGTCATCTACTAATCATGACTAACCTCTATGCCAAATATGACGACTGTAGGTCAAAGGAATCTTAAGTTATTGGGTCGACAAGCTTTTTGAAGTCAAGGCCCCTGTGACCTTGACCTTTGACCTGGTGACCTCAAAATCAATAGGGGTCATTTTCTAATCATGACTAAATTCCATGCCAAATATGACGACTGTAGGTCAAAGGAATCTTAAGTTATTGAGCGGACAAGCTTTTTGAAGTCAAGGCCCCTGTGACCTTGACCTTTGACCTGGTGACCTCAAAATCAATAGGGGTCGTCTACTAATCATGACTAACCTCACTGCCAAATATGATGACTGTAGGTCAAAGGAATCTTAAGTTATTGGGCGGACAAGCTTTTTGAAGTCAAGGCCCCTGTGACCTTGACCTTTAACCTGATGACCTCAAAATCAATAGGGGTCATCTACTAATCATGACTAACCTCCATGCCAAATATGACGACTGTAGGTCAAAGGAATCTTAAGTTATTAGGCGGACAAGCTTTTTGAAGTCAAGGCCCCTGTGACCTTGACCTTTGACCTAGTGACCTCAAAATCAATAGGGGTCATTTACTAATCATGACTAACCTCCATGCCAAATATGAAGACTAAGGGTCAAAGGAATCTTAAGTTATTGGGCGGACAAGAAAAAACCGACGGACGGCCGGACAGCCGGACGGACGGACAAGCTGATTCCAGTATACCCCCCTTACAACTTTGTTGTGCGGGGGTATAATGATTGTTTGTTATTTCAGGGATAGCGCGAACGCAGTCCCCACACCAATAAATTGCGTACCCGAGTAACCCACATTTGGGGCTATCGCAGACGTCAGCCCAACCGAAGTGCAATGGAAGGGCCTCTTTCTGGGGAAACCGCCTTGCAGATCACGGTGTTCCCTGTACCAGGTAAGTATGAATTCACCACATTTTACAGGCTATTTATTCAACGGCTCAACAGCATTTTGTCACACTTCAATTATACCATACAATTTAACGCTAATTTAACCATGATTAATAAATTTATGTTAGCATAAAAAAAAATCATTATTATATGAGTAATGAAATTGTACATTTATATTAATGATTAATGAATAAAAAAAAATAATTTGCAAAACATGTTCTTAAATTGGTAAAATAAGTGATATTTTAACACACTTTTTGACAAGCATATTCAAAGGGGGTAAATTTCTATAAATAGAACAAAGCCAGAAGGGACTGTACTCTCCCAACTACTAAAGCTATCAATGGGCACAACAAAGTTATCTGGCTATTGATTTTATCTCGTCTTTACATTTAATTTAGTCTAAACAACTGTGATAAAAAAAAAATGTGAAATGCAGTGTTATAGATATTGTAGAAAATAATTTCTGTATTGAAATACTTAGACAAACTTACTAAAATTGTGTTCTGTGAAATTATTGTTATTTTTTTTACTTTATAAATTAATCAGTTTGGCTTTAAGGTTTAAGAAGTTTAACCTCTGATGTAAAATAACCGAAACTTACAGGTTAAGAAACACTTAATATTACTAATAAAACATTCCTTTGCAATCTTAAATAAATTTTCCTTATTTAATGATCCCCTAAAAATGATCCTCCACTAAAAAAGAAAAAAAATAATTTTAATGACAGTTTCATACAATATTATTTACTGTTATGATAATATTGATAACTTAGCGTTGTTTAAAGATACTATTATTCAACTTTATGTTGTTTTCATATATTGTTATTATTATTTATTGAAAAATAACGTTTTTATACAATATTATTTATTTTAATGTTGTTTTCATATAATATTAACTATTCTAATGTAGTTTTCATCTAATTCTAACCATTTAATGTTGTTTTCATCTTTTATTTTTTTACTTGTTTTTTTTGCCCGTTTTGATGAAACCACGAAATTTCATGCCCACGAATATAAATGAATTCGCAGTATCTTGAACAAATCTATCTTTAAGTAACAAAATTATTGATGTTATCTAAAAATGAATTAGATTTATCAATTAATGTTGCTTACAGAATGATGTAACCAAAATAAAAATTATACCTCTGAGATCGCCTTGGTTTTTCATCAAGTTCACGAAGGTTCCCAGTACTGTATGAATGGTACGCGGGTCCCCCTAAATCGCCATCTGCACCTTCGCTGGAAGCACTACCTCTACGACGAACAAGAGGGCTTGGAGTCTTTTTACGGTTGCTACCAAAGTTGAAAAACCTGCAAAATATGATTACTTCATTTAGATTTTACCTTTGTTTGTTTCTTTGATTTTAACAGACTATACTTTGTTTGTTTCTTTGATTTTAACAGACTATTTTTTGGTCATATTATGGAGGTGGATCCACCTAACCGGCTCTCCTGGATAACTTACCAGTAATTACCAATGTGAACGACTACATATGCCACACAATGACAGACAAATGTCTATCCAGGGTTCGTACAGACATCCAATGCCAAAATTCAAGGACTTTTTAAGTACTATTTAAGCACGTTTTCCCATTTTTCAAGCACATTTGTTGCACATATACCAACACAATCTTCACCCTATGATGGATAGTTTGTTCACCATTTTTTGTTGAATACACATTTTCTGACATTATAGAAGAACAACAAAGGGTGCACCAAGTACAGATTAGTTCAAAACAACTGCAATTTGTCCACTTACTGTTACCTTGATTTAATAAACATTTCATTGATTTTGATACTAAATTAGATCTTTTTTCTTTTATTTTGTTAACTGTTGATTTTTATCAAAACTATGTCATTCTGTGATTCAAACATTTTCAAGCACATTTTTAGCAAATTTAAGCACTTTTTAAGCACTTTTCAAAAGAGTAATCACATTCAAGGACTTTTAAGCACTTTTTTACATTTTTAAGCACTTTTTAAGAAAGAGACTCAAATTTAAGCACTTTTTAAGACTGTACGAACCCTGCTATCAGACAGTCGGATCTGATTTTTCCCTTTAAACAGGGTGTTGTAATAATATTTAAAGAATTGATCGGAACTTTGTGATAATTCTTAAGTAATACAAAGTAAATTGTTACACTGCTTTTGTATCAGTTTTTCAAAAATGAATACTTTTTTAAAGATTGTAATCTCGTGCAAAGTTTTTCTTACTTTTTCTTTGTATAGTGTGTTTGAGATTTGTCTAACAGTTGATTATATTGGTCAGAGCGGAGAAATCTTGAATAACTGTCTTTTTTCATCAACGCATATACATGCTCCATGGCCGGTTGGAATATATATCTGTAAATAGAAATATAAATTGTATATAAAATTTATTATATAACAAGAGCTGTCCGTAAGACAGCGCGCTCGACTTTTTTATTGCTTGCCAATAAAAAAAGTTTTTGCAGTAAAAGGCAATACAAGAATCTCTGTATTTTTAAAGTGAACAATGGCCATGAGCATTAAGATATTTAGTGAAGAATTATTTTACTGAATTGTGTGATACCCTTGAACACTGCAGCAAAGTTTGAAATGTTTAAGTCAAAAGAGGGCTGGTAAGAAAGAAAAAAAAACTGAGTTGAGCCTTAAATAAATTTAATAGTATTAAACCCACTTTGAGAGAATAAGGTATTTTTACGTCACTCAGAACACCTTGGTAAATGACATAATAACATAATTTTTCAAGAAATCTATGCCAAGGAAGCAGTATATTTTTGTACAATCAGCATAATATATAGATTTGACTTTGTATGTGAAAGTATTATAGTTACCTTATAATACAAGTAATAGATAAATTTTATCAAGTGGACTGGTACTAAAAACTTAACCAAGATTCTAAGTCGATAAAAGGCCTTAATTTTTAAAACAAATCCTTGACAGAGTTACCTTCTCTTGCGTACAGATGGGGGTAATGATGTGAAATAGCATTAAAAGTTTCAAAGCAATATCTCAAAGGGTTAAGGCAATAAGTGGATTTTACCCATATTCAATGTATTTTCTAAGTCAAAAAGGGGCATAATTCTGTCAAAAACCTTGACAGAGTTATGTCCTCTTGTCTGTTGATGAAGGTCGTGATGGTAAACAAGTATGGTCAGTTTCAAAGCAATACCTCCAATGGTTTTGAAATAAAGTGAGGTGGTACAAAAAACTTAACCAAGATCAATACACTTTCAAAGTCAAAAAAGGGCCATAATTCTGTCAAAAACCTTGACAGAGTTATGTACTCTTGTCTGTAGATGGAGGTTATGATGGTGAACAAGTATGGTAAGTTTCAAAGCCATACTTGTAATACTTCTGAAATAAAGTGGGGTGGTACGAAAAACTTAACCAAGGTGTGACGCCAACGCCGACGCCGACGCCGGGGCGAGTAGGATAGCTCCCCTTTTCATAGAAAAGTCGAGCTAAAAATTGCTCGAAATGAAAATTTTACAAAATCAAGGAGCTAACATTCTTATGGTCAAATGAATACCTACCTGCATACACCGATATTATCCATTTCCCAAGACTGGGCTTGTACCAGATTATCATGAACTGTTTATAGTATATTTAGATCAAACATTGAGAACAAAATCCAAGAAATGTTACGAAACGAGACTAAAAGTAAAACACTTTCCAAGAATCGTTAAAATTGTAAGTTTATTAAAATGTCAGATCCTATATGTATCAACATACAGCCAGAAAAACAATTAAAACAGAGTTAAAATTTATCGAGCTGTCTATAAAACGATCAATTGGAACATTTCGAATTTACCTAGTTCTTCCCGACAAGTCTTTATCCTCCTTTAACTGGGATGTAACTTTCTCGAGAGTTTTACAATCCACGTTCACCTCATGTATGGCACCAGCAGTTAAAAACTCTCTGTAATATAATATACATGTATATATGAGCTGCGCCACGACAAAACCAACATAATGGGTATGTGACCAGCATGGATCCAGACCAGCCTGCGCATCCGCACAGTCTGATCAGGATCCATGCTGTCCGCTTAAAAACCCTATAACAAGTAGAGAAACTGATAGCGAACAGCATGGCTCCTGATCAGACTGCGGGGATGCCCAGGCTGGTCTGGATCCATGCTGGTTGCAATCCCATTATGTTGGTTTTGTAATGGCGCTGCTCATATAATATTATATATATAAGGAAATTACAACAATAAATATATCCAGTAAACATCAACCTCGATTTATATTAACAGGGCAATAACAG